AGTTCCGGAATGGTCCGCCATATAAACCTTGCATTGCCATTTGGGATTTCGTGTTAAGGGCTTACGCTTATTGTTTAGGGTCTTAGGGTCTCGGGTCTAGGGGTTTTGGGACTTCGGGTTTATAATTTTTGGTTTTTTTTAGGGTTTATGGTTTGGGGTGGAAAGGGTTTTAGGGTTTGGGGCCGCTTGTCTCTCCTTCTGCTCCTTGGCCTTGCCTACGCGCTCGCTGGCCGCCTGCACAAAGCTTTCTGTCCGAAGCCCCAAACCCTAAACCCTGAAACCCTGCAACCCTTCGCCCTAAGCCCTGAAACCTGAAACCCTAAGCCCTAAGCCCTAAGCCCTAAGCCCTAAGCCCTAAGCCCTAAGCCCTAAGCCCTAAGCCCTAAGCCCTAAGCCCTAAGCCCTAAGCCCTAAGGGGATGTAGACTGGCAGTCCCTAATAACCCTAGGATTATAGTACCCCCCCCCCCCCCCCCCCCCTATTAGTCCCTATTCCGGACTGCTAGTATAAGGGGGAACATCCCAAAGTGTAGGGGTCGATGTCTAGGTGGAACCATTTGCGGCGTTGGGGGTTCGAGGTGTGGTGTCGTTGTTTAGGTCATTGGGTTCGGTGGGATCCGGCGATCAGGGGTTAGGGTTAGGGTTTAGGGTTTAGGGTTTAGGGTTTAGGGTTTAAGGTTTAGGGTTTAGGGTTTAGGGTTTAGGGTTCAGGGTTCAGGGTTTAGGGTTTAGGGTGTAGGGTGGGTTTGGGGCTTGTTTACAACAAAAGGCACCCACAAACGAAAAAAGTTAGAATTGAAGGTCCCACTGGGCTTGGGGAAAGGCGGTTAAAGTTTAAGGTTGATGTGGCAAACGCCTCAGCAACCCCAAACAAATCCCAGAACTCTTGTAGCGGCAGCGTATAACAAGTCTACACTTCCAACATCCAACTCCTCACCCGGTAGTCTTGACTACTTATATATAGCCCTAGCTAAGGTACGCACTGGAACCCTACGAAGTGCATATTTTTTGAGAAAATACAAGGCATCGCAAGGGACGCTGTCCCCAAAGCCTAAACCCTAAACCCTAAACCCTAAACCCTAAACCCTAAACCCTAAGCCCTAAACCCTAAACCCTAAAGGCAAACTACCGGCGAGGCCCACAGCTGCTGGACAAATCTGAGACTACTTGGAGGTTCAGGGTACTTATTCACCCAATACGAACTGTAGTTGGGTTTGGGGTTTGGGGTTTGGGGTTTGGGGTTTGGAGTTTGGGGTTTGGGGTTTAGGGTTTAGAGTTTAGGGTTTAGGGTTTAGGGTTTAGGCCCAATACTATCTGTACTTATAACCCAGTTTTTACCATGTTAGGGCAGTTATCATTGGTTAATAAGTACCGCGAACCTCCAAGTACCAGCCGGGGACCCCAATGCAACAGGATTTGGGGCTTGGGAGCTAGGGGGTTAAGGTTTTAGGGCTTTCGGGGTTTAAGGGCCTTAAGGGTTTTAGGGTTTTAAGGGTTTAAGGCTTTAGGGGTTTTAGGGTTTTAGGGTTTTTGGGGCTTATGGGGTTTTAGGGTTGACAATGGGGCATCGGCCTTCCAGCCTCACCCCCCAGCTTCTCCATCCCGAACCCGAAATGCCCAATCCCCGAAACCCTAAACCCTAAACCCCAAACCCCAAACCCTAAACACCAAATCCTGTTTGAGGTTTTACGGATAGGCCCGCGCCTGAACCTCACCCTCCCAACCCATAAACGCGAAACGCGAAGACTCTAAACAATTCACGAGGCCCCAAACCCTAAACCCTAAACTCTAAACCCTGAACCCTAAACGATAACCCTAAACCCTAAACCCTAAACCCCAAACCCTGAACCCTAAACCCTTAAACCCTAAGCCCTAACCCGCAACCCTAAACCCTGAAGCCGGCTGCACCTGGACTCTGGCTGCAGCCTGAGCCTGGAGCTCCTGACAGCCCACAACCCCCCCATCCTTACGGTTTAGGGTTTAGGGTTTAGGGTTTGGGGTTTAGGGTTAAGAGGTTTCGGAGTTGCGGGGTTGAGGGCTTGAGGATTTCGGGGGTTAGGGTTTAGGGTTTGCGGAGTTGAGGTTCTTGGCGTTGAGCAGATTCTAGATTTTTCTAGTTTAGGGGTTTAGGGGTTTAGGCGCCTGGGATTTTATCCTAAACCCTAGACATCCGCAAGCCCTAAACCCCACGATCCCCACGATCCCAAACCCTAAAGGGGTTTAGGGAGCTTGGAGGGTTTTGGGGGTTTTGGGCGGATACGAGCGCTGGCTCCACGTCCTGTCTTTGAGGATGCCATATCTGCCACAAAATCTGCGGAGCCCAGTGCCACAACCCTAAACCCTAAACGGTTTAGGGATTAGGGCTTGGGGTGTAGGGTTTAGGATTAGGGTTGAGGGCTTCGCGTTTGCTGTAATAGGGCGTAGATGCTGTGAAGGTTAGGCTTTGGAAAGGTTAGGCTTTGGAACAAGCTCGAAAGCTTCGTGAGGCGGGAAGAGCAGCTCTGGCCCGATTGCGGAGGGCCATCTAACACCTTTCTCCCACCCCACACCATCCGAGGCGGCAAAACCACCCAAACCTATTTCTTTTGGGTTTAGGCCTACACTCAAGTCAACTGCTTACTTACAATAAAACTTCTTCATTCCGTCACAGTGGTCGCCAGCCTAGTTCCAAAAAGGGGGCTTGAGGGGTTAAACCCTACAGGCCTAAACCCTGAACCCGAAAACTTTTCTCCTAATTCCACAAGGCAAGCCTCTTTTTGTGTGGCGCCTTCTGCGAAGTCATCGGGACAGTTGCCCAGAAGCGTCCCCCTCCGGTTTCTCGTCCAAAAAAAACACCACTCTTAAACCCTGAAGCCCTGAAGCCCTTAAACCCTAAACTCTTAACCCCCTCAAACCGTCAAACCTTTAAACCCTACATCCCTTAACCCATAAACCTTAAACCCTTGAACCGACCCTAAACCCTAAACCCTATAAACCCTAACCCTAAATCCTAAACCCTAAACCCCCTTATAGCTCCTGCAGCTCCACGTTGCGCTGCTCAGCCAAGGCGCGGTCCCGCTGGTATCTGACACTCTGGAGTTTAGGGTTTAGGGTTTAGGGTTTAGGGTTTAGGGTTTAGGGTTTAGGGTTCTCCGGCGTGCGAGTTCTGACTGATTAGGGAAGTAGGTACCCTATGCAATCCCTGTAAGCTTATGGGCCCTAAACCCTTAACATCCCTTAACCGTAAACCCTAAACCCGAAACCCTAAACCCTGAACCCTGCGAGTGCGTGTTGTAGGATCATCTTGGGGTTTAAGGCCTCTAGGAGAGGAACTATAGGGCTTTGAGGGCGCACGGGGCTAACATGCCTTTTGGGGCTTGTAGGGCACATGGCTATAGGAGACTTCGGGAATATCGATGTGAGGATGTGGGTTTAGGGTTTAGGGTTTAGGGTTTAGGGCTTTCGTATGGTGTTTCGTCTGGAAGGTTTAAAGCCTTTCCTTTCGAAGGGCCTGCATTGTCTACACCGGGCCCGCTTTTAGCGGCAACCTCTGGACTACTGACCTAGGGTTTAGGGTTTAGGGTTTAGGGTTCAGGGTTCAGGGTTCAGGGTTTAGGGTTTAGGGTAAAACGACAGACATGAAGAACAGCAGCAATGAGAATATAGGTTGTTTTTCACTGTACCATCGTGATCATAGTATGATGCTACTAGAACAGTCTTAAGCCTAAACCCTAGACCCTACACATATGGGGGTTTACGCAAGTAGGGGACCCCTAAAATAAACCTCCAAATACTAGGATTCCCTTATCGTAACGACCCCAATACGGTACGCCGAACCTCGTAAACCCCCCCCCCATTTTAGCAATGGTGTTAACAGGCTTTAAAGCTTCTAGGAACTGGGGATGAGGGCTCAGGATCTTCAGATCTCAGGGCCCTGCTGGTGAAGGTCTTGCTTCAGCTGATCCAGCCTGCAGGGTGTCGGGCTTCGGGACGATTACGGTTTAGGGTTTAGGGTTTAGGGTTTAGGGTTTAGGGTTTAGGGTTTAGGGTTTAGGGTTTAGGGTTTAGGGTTTAGGGTTTAGGGTTTAGGGTTTAGGGTTTAGGGTTGTTTAACACTTTGGGCTGTTCAGGCCTTTGGGAGCTACGCAGGCGTACAGGTGTAATTCTGTGGGCACCCAAGGAGCATTCTGCAAGATCCCTCATACCGGGCTACGAGCACCAGCGCCTCGAGGTGAACTCACTCGTGCGCCGTCATTCCAAACCCTAAGCCCTAAACCCTAAACCCTAAACCCTGAACCCTGAACCCTGAACCCTAAACCCTAAACCCCACGCTGCTTGGCTGCCCCCATGTTCCCCCAACATCAGCTGGCCTGTGCGAGGACCGGAAACGCTGCTCCACGCGTGTGGCCTCTGCGGAGACACGTCGCAGGTGATCCTCCGGGACATGATTATGAGGAGCTTTTTGTGGGTTTAGTGGTTTAGTGTTTAGGGTTTGGAGTTTAGGGTTTAGGGTTTCGGGTTTGGGGGCTTAGGGTTCAAGGTGGTTGTGGTTGTGGTTGTGGTTGTGGTTGTGTTTGTGATCGTGCTGGTCGTGGTCGCGGTCGTCGTCGTCGTAGTCCCTAGCAGTAGTAGTAGTAGTAGTAGTAGTAGTAGTAGTAGTAGTAGTAGTAGTAGTAGTAGTAGTAGTAGTAGTAGTAGTAGTAGTAGTAGTAGTAGTAGCAGAAGTAGAAGTAGAAGTAGAAGTAGAAGTAGAAGTAGAAGTAGAAGTAGAAGTAGAAGTAGAAGTAGAAGTAGAAGTAGAAGTAACAATAGAAGAAGCAGTAAGTGAGGAATTGTAATCTGCACACACATACCTGTACATGCGTTTAAACATCCTGCATGCTGATACGTTTCCAAACACAAGGATCGCAGCCATGGCCTGCAAGTCACTATTCGTATACCATTCCAATCAGCAGGGATGAGGCATGCTGGTGGCTGCAATCGCGATGGCTCCAACATGGACCACTTGTGGCTTCCGCTCGGCTACAGGTGCCTAGAATCAGCTGTGGGGACCCTTTGGCCTTGCAGCTCAACATCCGTCGCCATCTTCAACAGCTCCGCAACATCCCCATGGCCCGCACTTTGCGCGATGCTCATTGGAGTTTTCCGGCAGTCAGCGCCTCCACAGCACTGGTTCGCGTCGGCACGAAAGGCAAGCAGCACCCTCACCACTGGAAGGTGGCCGTTGCAAGATGCTGCTGCAAGGGGCGTGGAATCTGAAAGCTTATCCGTCCGGCGCATCATGTGAATTTGACGTCGGCAATGAACGCGGCGTTGACGCAAGCCGTTGTCTGGGCAAAAATGGTTCTGGTCAGCCCCGGCTTCAAGCAACAAGCGGGCAACCTCCGTGTGGCCGTGGTAGCAGGCCACGACCAAAGGCGTTGCGGGAATAGTTGCGGTGCAAATCTTGTCCACCTCTGCACCGGCGCGCAGCAGCAAGCGCACGACCTCCTCGTAGCCTCCCCAGCAAGCAATCCCTAAAGGTGTCTGGCCGGCCTCCCATTTCCGGTCTGTACAGACCTTGTCCCTGTCCGCTCCAGCCTCCAGCAACAACTCCACGGCGGAAGCACTCCCTCGCCGGCAGGCGAGGTACAGAGGTGTTGGGCCAGAACCAGTCCTTGGTAGCAAAAGTAACCATGTTAAAATAAGGGCACCCTCGTTTGGTTTTGGTTACTTCATAAGGGAAACTTGGACCAACAAAAATGGAAAAAGGTACCACTGGGCTACCCAGAGTCAAGCAAAGGTCCGGGTCCACTGGCTGATGGAGCATTTTCTCCAGCGGCCTCGCGAGGCCGTTTGTAGCAGCCGCGGTGACTGCACGCACCTCTTTTGGCGTAGGGGAGCCCACAGGCAATAGAACGAGCTGCAGGTTAGCATGCCGCGTGGACGTCAGCAAGTCGAAGTCTTTCAGAACAGTACCATCCAGAAGCAGTCGCTGCCTGAATCGGGTCAGCCCACATGCGCCTTGCAGACGTCGTTTCAACGCGAGCACATGCGAAACCTCTTCCGCTGGAACAGCCGCCCACTCTTGGCCATTGACACCAAAGACATGCAACATCTTTGTGGACGTCAGACCGTCAGTCCAAGGGACAGGGTCTCATGTACTTCCCAGACCACAGCCGAAGAAGCGCCTCCTTATATCACAGGCCGTGAGCCATGAGTGTCGAGCCGCCAACATCCTATACCTTAAGAACCCACAACCTACTTTTTTTGCAGGCTCTTCTTATAAGACCCCTTATAGGATTCTTAGGTAACCTACAAAAAAGCAGGCTTTGGGTTCTTAAGGTAGGGAGGCAAAGGGACCTCGCCACAGAAACCCCACACTGACAGCAGGGCTCAGCAGAATCTCATGCAGAAAACTCAAGCCTAATGTAGATATAGAAGCCTGAATGATTAGAATATGGTTTGGAGGGGTATTGAAGTATATTTAAAGGGACCAGAAGGGAGTATTAATAGTACTTATTCCGACACTTACAATATTACATTATGAATCAAATGAATCAAATGCTTTGTGCTTCAGCTAGCCGACATGAAGCATTTGAGAAGGCGTGGCTTTGGGGCTTGGTAGAAAATGGCTCTGCGAATTGTTCAGTGTTTACAGTGCGGGCTTTGTGGCTAAGGTACAAAGATTAGCAAATATGGGGGGGGGGATTTGGGATTTGCTTAAACCCTAAACCCTAAACCCTAAACCCTAAACCCTACACCCACGGAGTTTGAGAGCTGGGGCCTCGGAAGTTTTTTGGACCGGCAGGAGTGTCGCCAAAGGCTGGGTTTAGGGGGTTTAGGGGTTTGGGGGTTTGGGGGTTTAGGGGTTTAGGGGTTAGGGTTTAGGGTTTAGGGGTTTCGGAGTTTAGGGTTTAGGGCTCGGAGAGTTCCAAAACCTACTTGGCTCTTGGACTTTGAAGCCGCAGGGCTGCAAGATCAGAAGCACGGGCCTCGTATTGGGTTTAGGGTTTAGGGTTTCGGGTTTAGGGTTTAGGGTTTAGGGTTCAGGGTTCAGGGTTCAGGGTTCAGGGTTTAGGGTTTAGGGTTTAGGGTTTAGGGTTTAGGGTTTAGGGTTTAGGGTTTAGGGTTTAGGGTTTAGGGTTTAGGGTTTAAGGTTTAGGGAAGCACGGGCCTCGTATTGCTCCACCTCCGACCGCAGCTTCTGCTTCTCACGCTCCTCGCGGGTGAGCACCTGCGCATGGCTTTGGAAAAGATATCAATCAGGCGCGGCGCGTCTTCAGAAAGGCTTAAGGTTTAGGGGGGTTTAGGGTTTAGGGTTTAGGGTTTAGGGTTTAGGGTTTACGAACCTTGAGCGGCCCTGGAATGAAACCAGCTGCAGTCGCCGCCGGCGTGCAAGGCCCGCAAAAGTGCTCGAACTTCCCAACACTGCGCTTCGCTGCTGGAGTACTCACGTGACATGCGTGTGGTTTAGGGTTTAGGGTTTAGAGGGTAGAGGGTTTAGGGTTTAGAGGGGTTTAGAGGGTTTAGGGTACCCCTTTTGACTAAATGCTGCAAGCTGATCGCGAGGCCTCGCGGACATCCACGCCTCGGTGGAACGTTGGCTTGTTTCTAGGCTGCCCAGTAGCCTAAGGCTTAGAAAGGGTGCCCGTTTTTGCTTAAAGGGGTTTAAACCCTAAACCCTAAACCCTAAACCCTAAAACCCTAAAAGGGAACCTAAACCCCCCAAAAGGGAATAAGGGCACTACTGGGCATCCTAGGTTTGCATTGTCATGGCACTTGACTGACCCACCCTTGGAGCCCCCAAAAGAGGAAAAACAAACACCAAAACGAGAGAAGCCAACAGTGCCTGCCATCTAGGGGAATATAGGGCCCTCTTTCAATAGCAGGCGCGCTTTATGCCTGCTGTCTATTCCAACAAAGTACCAGGAAGAGCTACTTTGTTGAGTTTTTTGGGGGGGCGTTTGCCGAAACAGGGGGCCCCCGAACATATCCCAGGACGCTGACTTCCTTAATCCTCCGATTTTCGGAACTCTCCATGCAGGCTCCTGCTCGAGTCCGTCTTCTTTTCAAGGTTTCCCAGGAGTGCCCTTCAGTCTTTTGGCATAAAACCCTAAACCCTAAACCTTAAACCCTAAAGCTTCTCGTCCAAACATTATGGGGTCCTTCAGGGAGGAGAGTTCAAGGGGAGTACGTAACCTAACATTCCCTCATGCTCCGCACTACTCCCTATAAGGCTCCCTAAGCTTCCCTACCTACCCCTCCTGAAACCCCCCTCCCTCAAGGACCCTATACACGCCGTCTCTATGTCTCTGAAAGACCCTATTGGCTGGATAAAACAAATCCCACTGAGGGAGCCCCCACACGCTGCAACAGCCCAAACACATCCCGGCCTTTCCGGAAGCCAGAAACTGGAACTCCGGTCTTCAGTGGTCTAGGGTTAGGGTTTACGGTTGAGGGGATTATGGTTTAGGCCGCCCACCACTTCAGCTGCTAAAGGCTGAAGGTTAAACCCTGAGACTGTTTGAAGCTTGCGCGGTTGAAGCGCTTCTTGATCTCAAGTCTGAATGATTAAACCCTCCTGCGCTCTAAACCCTGAACCCTAACCCCCTAAAACCCCGAACACCCCTAAACCCTAAACCCCTAAAATCCCGAACACCCCTAAACCCTCAACCCCTCAACCCCCAAACCCCCAAAACCCCAAACCCCGAACACCCCTAAACCCTAAACCCCTAAAATCCCGAACACCCCTAAACCCTCAACCCCTCAACCCCTCAACCCCCAAACCCCCCAAACCCCCCAAACCCCCCAAACCCCCCAAACCCCCAAAACCCCCAAACCCCCAAAACCCCCAAACCCCCCAAAACCCCCCCCCCAAAACCCCCAAAACCCCCAAAACCCCCAAAACCCCCAAAACCCCCAAAACCCCTAAACCCCTAAACCCCTAACCCCTAAACCCCTAAACCCCTAAACCCCTAAACCCCTAAACCCCTAAACCCCTAACCCCTAAACCCATTATCACGCAGAGCCACCAAGCTCCGAGTTCAGCTTCTTGAAGTGGGCCTTGCCCAGCTTCAAGAGCTCTGCCTCGCGCGCCCTAAACCCTCAACCCTAAACCCTAAACCCTAAACCCCTGGAAGGTGCGGGTTGGGCTTGGGCCGGGCGCCTTTCTTACGCAGGGTGTGTGGGGGGGGGGGGGGGCATGGTGTAGGTCTGTCACCCTAAGCCAGAAACCCAGGGTTTACATCGCTTACATCGCTTACACTTCAACTCGCTCAAACTGCCACAGGCAATTGAGAGGGAGGGAAAGGGAAAGTGGGTTGCGCGATACCTCCATGTTGCAATGGCAAGTCGTTGCAACGCACGAGGAGCAGCAGTCTTTCAGTCGTCACGTGTCTCAGAATACCAATTCTGATGAAGAGGATGGAGATGAAGTCAGGCGTTCGGCGTGTGACAAACTGGGATAGGCCAGAAGCCCCAAACAGGTCACATGTGCCCGGACAAGCTTGCAAACAGTGTTGCAACGTAGCTTCTACGGCCTGACAGAAGGGGCACGGCTTCAGCAAAAGCGTATTTTCATGTCCTGGAGTCGCCAGCAACAGGCGAAGCGGCCACAGTCCCGTCAACCGAGCAAAACTCCACAGCTCAACAGAATCCCACATCTTATCTGGAACACATCCCAATGAAACATCCCACCCTTGGCAGGCGCGAACTGGGCAAAGGTCTATGTACCGCAGGTTAAGACCTGCCAACACCTTAGTGGCGGAAGCTGCAAATTCCGTTCGGTCCAAGGCACTAAGGCGAGGAGTAGCAGAGTTTTCCGCAAGGCCTTACAGGATCTGGCCAGCTCCATTTCTTCCACTGTGCAAACACCAGAGTCCTGCAGAAGCGGAATTCCTCCGCACTGCTCCAGAAGGTCACGGGTCATGTGCAACCAAGTACCATCATGAATGGATTCTGTCATAGTCACCATACGACACACTGGGTGATCTTGCTGTAGAATGCTGATTTTAGCCAAATCAGCCAAAGCTCGTAATTTGGCCTTAGTGCCCAACCTAAAAAGCCAACCAACAGTGGCCACTGCAAGAGGCCCACGAATGGCGGACCCTGCTTTGCCTGTGCGAATTTGTTTCGCCCAGTCAGCCTGCAGCTTGTTCAGCTGTGAGTATGCATCAGGCACCAAGGGCAGGAGCTCGGAGGCGTAGAGCATGACTGGTTCGACACGCTCAGTGATGGCAACTGCCAAAGTTAGGGTGTTAGGGGTGTTAGTGGCATGAGGGGTGTTAGTGGCGTTTGGGGTGTTAGGGGCGTTAGGGGTGTTAGGGGTGTTAGGGGTGTTCGGGGTGTTAGGGGTGTTAGGGGTTTAGGGTGAGGGTTCAGGGTTCAGGGCAGCTTCTAAACATGCAAGCATTCGGGTGAAGAGCTTGCCCTTCCTCACCAATGCCCCAAGCAAGTCTATAAAGGGGAGCATCCGAACCTAAGGCCTAAGAGGCTCCTCAGAGGCTCAGGGGTTCAGGCTTTAGTGCTTGGGATGGCGATCGTTCCCTGGGACCCTCAACCCTAAACCCTAAACCCTAAACCGTGGCTAGAGTCGCGCAACTGTTTCAAGCATAAAACAAACAAACCTCCTAAACCCTCAACCTTGGGATGTTCCCCCCTGATACTAACAGTCCCTAACGTTTTAGGGTTTAGGGCTTAGGGTTTAGGGTTCAGCGTTTAGGCTTTAGGGAGTGCTTTATAGGGATTATCGTTACCCCCCACCCTACTATAACCCCCATGAAGGACTGCTAGTACAAGGGGGTTACATCCCAACCTCAACCCTCCAAAGCAAAAACAACAAAGAATACAGCCATGCCGCTGCACTCTGGAAACCTGGTAGAAATTCTTGTAGTATAATCAGAAAGGGACCATGAGCGAACATTCTTAGTAATTATTCCGACCCCTACATTACCTTTTTTGTGGGTTACCTGAGAATCCACACGAAGGGGGGGTTGGTAGAAACAACCTACAGCTAAGTAGGCTTCAGGTTCTTGAGCTGGACCCTAAACCCTAAACCCTAAACCCTAAATCCTAAACCCTAAACCCTCGGCCTCCAAGGTTTCCTTCTCCTTACGCACCGCCGCGTAAGCGGCTTCGCCTGCCCACAAGACCGGGGCGCCCCGGGCCAATAGGGCGGCCTATAGGGTTTAGGGTTTAGGGTTAGGGTTTAGGGTTTAGGGTTTAGGGTTTAGGGTTTAGGGTTTAGGGTTTAGGGTTTAGGGTTTAGGGTTTAGGGTCTAGGGTCTAGGGTTTAGGGTTTAGGGTTTAGGGTTTAGGGTTTAGGGTTTAGGGTTTGGGTTTAGGGTTTGGGTTTAGGGTTTTGGGTTGAGAGGTTTAGGGTTGAGGGTTTAGGGATCTAGGGGATGTAGGCAGTTTGGGTTTGAGGGCTTGGGGGGGTTAGGGGGTATAGCCCAGGGCACCCCAAAGGCTCTGAATTCCTACAAGGTTCCTTACTTTCCTCGCCGGGGTTTTCAAAAAAGGGTTTAGGGTTTAGGACTTAGGGTTTAGGGTTCCTTGGTCTCTGGGCTTTCTAGGGGGGGTTCGGGGGTTTATAGGGTTTTGGGCACCAGCTTGCCCCAGCATCTCCAAAACAAGTCTCCCCACCCTGGACCCATAAACCCCAAACCCTAACACCTACCGCCTAAACTCTAAACCCTATTATACTGGACAGCCCAGAGACCCCTTAAGTCCTAAACCCACCTGAGGTTCTTGGTTTAGGGTTCACGGGTTCAGGGACTCCAACACTCGAAAAACCCTCAACCCTAAACCCTAAACCCGAAACCCTAAACCCTAAACCCTAAACCCTAATCTCTTTCTGTACGGCCGCTCAGGCTGTGAGCCCTTGACGTCGAAGGCTGTTCTCTTTTTGGAGGCATTGGGGTGGGGTTCAGGGTCTGTAGGCCCTACCTGAAGAACCCAAAACCCCCTTCTTTGTAGGTTCTTATTGCAAAATCTCAACTTACAGGATTCTTAGGCAACCTATAATAAATGTAGGTTTTGGGGTCTTAAGGTAAATACTGAATCCTATTCACGATTCAAGGCTAGCAAAGGGCATGCTTCCTCGACATGTCTTCTGCTCCGCCACCTTATACGTGACGGCATCCCCGTAGATCCACATGCCACGGCCCGAAAGCCCAAACCACATAAGCCCCAAGCTGAAACCAGAGTAGCCTAGCCCTTTTTGTGAAGAGGGGCTTCATAGGGAGCCTACACCTTAAAAAAGTGAGTGAGGGGCCTCTCTGGGTCCTAGCGCAAGGCCCCAAGAGCCTGAGAAAATCAAAAAAGACTCAAGGAAGTGGTTCTGCATTTCAGGATCCTTGTGGAGAATCGGGGTTTAGGGTTTAGGGTTTGGGGTTTGGGGTTTTGGGTTTTGTGTTTAGGGTTTAGGGCTTAGTCCTTTTTGAACAGGGCCCCAAAACCCGAATTTGGGGTTCTGGTGTCTTGCAGGCTGAGGTAGGCATGAGCAACATAGCTGGAACGTCTCGCCGAAACCCTTCGAACCCCAAGCCCCGCAGGCCCTCGAGCTTCAGGGATGTACCCTGAACCCTATACCCTATACCCTAAACCCTAAACCCTAAACCCTAAACCCAAAATCCTAAACCCTAAACCCTAGCGCCCAACTCTCAGCCCCTGAAACCCTTCAAGGGACTACAGGAGGGACTCTTGCAAAGGACCTTAAGGGGTAATGTATGGGGCTACTTAGGTATAGTTATGAGGACTACATAAGGTGCATGTAAATAATATATATGTATATGTATATGTTAAGAGGGGTTTGAGAGGCGAATAAGATTAAGGGCCCGTTTCGGGGGTTCTAGGAGCTGCAGCTCGGAAGTCACCACCCCTTCGACCGTAAACCGGTGGATTTACCGGTGGCTCAACTTTCACCATTTAGGGTTTAGGGTTTAGGGTTTCGGGTTTAGGGTTTATTCCGAGAACAAGAAACATCTCAAGTCCTTCCCCAGCATCCCATCCAAAAAGCTTCAAGAAGGTTTGGGGGGTATGGGTGGAAAGGGTAAACCCACGCAAGCAAGAGTTGTAATGATCTGGAATTAAAACCCGCGGAGGCGCCTCGGTTTAAGCGGGCAGCCAGGTCCTGCGCGGAGTCTCTGCATGGTTTCAGGCGTCGGGCCTTATACGGTTTAACAGGGTTGGGGGCCATCGATGCTGTAGAATCAATTCCTTATATATTATACGGTTACTACATGGGCATTCCCAAAGGGGGGGTGGGGGGCGGGTTCCCCTTTGTCTACCCCCGAAAACAAGACGAATCTTTATTGCAGGAAACCTGCGGGCACGGGAAACCCCAATCATTATCCGAAGCCACCCGGATGCCTGTACAAAACTGCTTTCTGGCAATGAAGAACCTGTACAGCGACCTTAATGACGTCAGGCTCCATGCAGACAGCTCACGTGGGCGCAGGCTGGTTAATACATCAGCTGGTCAACGGCCGCGAACAACGAGTCCGTATCTTGCATGTCCCACCCAGTTCGTGCCATCAAGGAGCTGACTTCTTCCTCGTCCTCTTCAAAGAGTAACAACCTGCAAAGCACCCCCTGGTCACTCCATTCACGCTCAAGACAGGGCATTCCGTACGTCCCAAGGCCTGGTCGGTCTTGCAGCAGCGGGTGGTGCAGCGGCAGAGGTGAGGGCGGCTCGAGGTCGTACTCTCGGCTCAAGCAGAGCTCGTGGATCTGCTGTGAATTCCGCTTCCAGCTGTTGGTTTCCCAGACTGCGTCCTTCACCAACCTCCCCTCCTTCCACACGCGCTCCGCGTAGAAGGAGGGACTGCAAGGTCCTCCTACTCGATACGGGACGCAGGTGGAGCGCTCCACCCCATGCAGCGCACCGTTCGGCAGCCGCTGGACCCTCACGCAAACATACAAGTCAGCGACTCGTTGAGATGTGGTTTCATCTTCGCGGCGGAATCGCTCCTGAAGCACCTCTTTGGCAGCCAGTGCTGCTGCCGCGGCAACGCGGCTGGTCCGGGCCAGTGCCGCAACAAGGGACGGCAGCGGTGCGAAGTCCAACAGCAGCACCACAGCCAGGTCGGGTAATGACATCGGCAGTCCCAAAGAGCCCAATATTGCTTAATTAAGGAATATTCCTTAAATCATATAGGGATCCTTAATATGATTTAGGGTATATTCCTTAATTAAGCAATATTGGGCTCTTTGGGGTGTTCAGCAGGTACACGGCAAGTCCGCAGCATTGACCTTGAGCCAAAAAGGGCACACACACACACACACAGAAGACAAACGAAGCACCATCAAGTTGTCTCGAATGCTCGCCTGTACGCCACACTATCACAGGCTGGCCAGAAGGACAGGGCCTCCTAAACCCTAAAACCTAAACCCTGTAAACCCTTGAGCACCTTGACTTGCGTGTCTCTGAGCCATCAACCCCCCCCAAAAATCCTAAACTCCGGAGCCCCAAAGCAGCTAAGCCTAACCCCGGTTCCCTGAAGTCTGGCATGAGCAACACAAGAGGTTGGACTCAGGGATATGAGGCTTAGGGCTTGTCGAACCCTAAACCCTAAACCCTAAACCCTAAACCCTAAACCCTAAACCCTAAACCCTAAACTGCGGTTTGACTAGGTTCGCTACGAGCCTACAGGCCCTGCCAAAGGAATGTACAAGGCACCCTTGCTTCATTGATGGGGTTCCCATAAGGGTCCATGTACCTAAATGGGCAATAAAACGGGCTTCAAAGTACTACCTATATGAGGATTTTGGGGCCCAAATATATGTGATAATAAGGTACATGGACCCTTAGGGTTCAGTAGGATCCTAAACTACTTAGTCGCTTTGAAGACGGGGCTTGATTCTCAGGGCCGATGTCCTCGACCTGCTTCACCAGCTTCCTGGGGCGCTTCAGGGCATGACAGGGCGTTTTAGGGTTTAGGGTTTAGGGTTTGGGGTTTAGGGTTTAGGGCTAGGGTCATAGGGCTTAGGAGTTGGAGCTCATGCCTTCCAGAGGCCGTGGTGAAAGGCCTTAGCATTCATGTTGAGTATTCAAACATTTCTTTGGCACCCTATCCCAGCCGAAGTCTAGTACCAGGCAAGCCCGGTAGAGGATAACTTGCGTGTTGTGTTAAAGGCGATGTCCAACACTTTTCAGGATGTCTCCTGCTCAACCCTGACACAAAACCTCTTGATCTCTTCTTGACATATCATAAATTACTAGACCAAAGCGTAACGTAGGAATACAAAGGGTTCCCGAATAAGGGCCTGCTCTGGGCCCCAGATGACCAGGCAGACGCAGAGCACACTGACTCCTTCCTAGTGCCAAACGCAAGCCCTATGCCCTAAACCCCAAAATCTATTACTCTAAAGCCCTAAGCCCTACTAAAGCCCTAAACCGCACTTGCCTGCGGCAAAAGCCTTCATCCCAAAGTGCGGAGACCCCAAGCCCAGAGAAGCCTCCATGGCTCCCCAACCATGCAAAGTGTGCAGGGCTTGGTTACATGGTCTCTTAGTATGAGCCCTTGAGTTGGGACCCCTTATGCACCCCCTATATACCCCATGCAACCCAAGGGCCCATACTTCAGAATCCTTTAAAGAAGGTAGGGGACCATGTTCAGGGACTATGTGACTACCCTAAGAACCACCCTAAACCCTGCACCCTATTGGCCTCCTACAGCCTCCCCTGAAGCCCGCAAGCCTTATAGACCATGTGGGCCCTTTAAACCCCCCCCCAAAAAAAAACTATGAATCATAAGCCCCCATCAAAACCCTAGACCCTAAACCCGAATCCGTAAACCTTAAGAAAACCTTGACACCCCTTCTCTTCAAATGTTTACGTAACCCTTAACCCTAAAACAAATGAAACACCTTAAAACCCGGTAGTTGAGGCCTAAACCCTAAACCCTAAACCCTAAACCCTAAACCCTAAACCCTAAACCCTAAACCCTAAACCCTAAACCCGGTAATTTAAAAGTTTAGCCCCAACTCCGCTCTCTCGCACCCTGGGGGCGGCGCTTCTGCTCCTTGGCGTGGGCCGCGTGCGTGGCGGTGAGCTGCCGGAGCTGAGGCCTCGGGACAGGCTGCGGTTTAGGGTTTAGGGTTTAGGGTTTAAGGTTTAGGGTTTAGGGTTTAGGGTTTAGGGTTTAGGGTGTAGGGTTTAGGGTTTAGGGTTTAGGGTTGGATTCCGAGATTCGGGTGTACCTTATTGGGGTCCCTTCGTTTTAAGGGGATTCTACGAGTTGGGGGGTCCACATTAGGGGTACCCCTATTTTCGCAAAGCCCCATATGTTCGTGACTGGGTTTAGGGTGTAGGTTGGGGTTTAGGTTTTTAGGCTTGGTACAGTGGGTTCAGGCTTAAATTAAACCCTAAACCCTAAACCCTAAACCCCAAACGTCAGAACAGGCCCGCTGGTGGGTTAAGGAGACTTTGGGAGTTTCTTCGGGGATTCGAGCTGCTTAGGGCTTGAAGGTTCTAAAGGGTTGGGGCAGCTGAGCTGCGTTCAGGGTTCGGGCTGTTTCGGGTCCGGTGTTCAGGGCTTGGGTTTTAGGGTTTGGGCCGGTTTGGGGGTTTAGGGTTTAGGGTTTAGGTTTGGGGGTTTCTTGCAGCTCCGGCGCTGTCTCTGCGCTGGGGGGGGTGGTCTCGCGCCCCGAGATGGCAGGACTTTGCTTGCCGCGGGGGGTGACACGGCAAATCTGTCAATTCAGACCAAAGCCCTGGCGATTATTTGCAGGAGTGAGAGCTTAGCAGTTTCGGTTCAGGGGTTCGGGGTTTAGGGTTTAGTTCAGGGGTTTTCCGGAGGTGCTTAGAATCTCGAACCACAAAGCAACACTTTACTTAGTTTGAGGGGGTTCGTGTCTGTCAGGGTCCCCAAATCATCAGGGCTCCATACAAACGTAACAGGTCCCTCAAAAGGATCTCCGACCCACCAACCCCGAATCCCCATCGGCAAAAACCTAGCCTGGCAAACTACAGTCTATGTTCCCTGGCGCGTAGGGTGAGGGGCTCAGAAGCTGTCAGGCAGGGTTCATAGGGTTTATAGGGCCCTAAACCCGAAACCCTAAACCCTAAACCCTAAACCCTAACCCTAAACCCTAAACCCTAAACCCTAAACCCTAAACCCTAAACCCTAAACCCTAAACCCTAAACCAGGGTTTAGGGAGTTTAGGGATGCTGAGACTACGGCGGAGTCTCAGATGCAGGCCTTTGGCATCGTGGCTGCAGCACTCGCTGCTGCAGGAAGCTTCCCTAAGCACCCTACTTGGAGGTTCATGGTACTAATCAACCACTTATAACTGTACTTCTAACTGTGCTTATAACCATATTAGGGCACTTAAGGGGCCTATAAGTGGGTTATAAAGTACAGTTCTAACTTGTTTATAAGTACCATGAACCTCCAAGTAAAGCCCTAAACGTAGCATGTTCCAGCATAACTCCCCGCCGTAAACCGACTGTCCGAGCTCTTCTTTGGGCTTAGGGTTTAGGGTTTAGGGTTTAGGGCTAGGGTTTAGGGTTTAGGGTTTAGGGTTTAGGGTTTAGGGTTTAGGGTTTAGGGTTTAGGGTTTAGGCTTTAGGGTTTAGGGTTTAGGGTTTAGGGTTTAGGGTTTAGGGTTTAGGGACTCTAGAACCCTCTCAGACCCCTATCTCTTGCCCTGCGCTTTCGCTTTGGGCTTCTGCTTCAGCGCCCCGCCGCCGGACAACATCAGCTCCAGGCTGCCGAAGTTCTGCGGCATGGCCCTGGGAACTGAGGCTCTCTTCGCTGTTGAAAGGTTTAGGGTTTAGGGTTTAGGGTTTAGGGTTTAGGGTTTAGGGGCACATGTTTCCTTATACTCAAGCTTCCTACATTGCGTGCTATGTTGCATCTTACTGTTGCATCGCAGATCATCGCAGCAAGCCGAAGCTGCACAATCGCAAGATCCGAATCCGGAAATGTAACCCTAAGCCCTGAACTGTGGGTTCATGTTTAAGGGTCTAGGGTTTAGGGTTTAGGGTTTAGGGTTTAGGGTTTAGGGTTTAGGGTTTAGGGTTTAGGGTTTAGGGTTTGGAAGAGTGAGTCTTCGGGATAATTACACCCGAGCCCTAGACCCGCGAAGAGGTGCGGAAGACGCACTTCCACGTTTAACAAAGAGGGAGAATCGTATTCCACTGATAACCAAGACTATTTGTGTTTCTTTGAGTGGTTCGTATGCAAATCGTAGGTTCTCAATGAGGGCCGTAGGATATTTTCCAGAGGGCTTTGAAGCCTGACATCTACCCGAAGCACCTTCAAAACGAATGACCACTGAAATAGCAAATGATACGCGCTCCGCTTGGGTCTTCAATGACTTCACTTTCTCTGTCTGTCTGTCTCTCTCGCTCTCTCTCTCTCTCTCTCTCTCTCTTTCTCTCTCTCTCCCTCCCTCACACCTTCTCTTCCTCTCCCCCTCTGCGTTTGGTTGTGCTCAGATCTCCGGCTCTCTTATCTTACTGGGGTGGCGCCCTCGTGTTGCAAGCCTCTTGAGTACGGTCTACTTCCTGAACTCCTCCTTAGTTGCCCAGCACAATCCCCATGAATGCCCTGAAACAAAACCAGGCCCTCCAAACCTTAAAATGGAGCCCTAAACTCCAAGCCCTAAGCCCTCAATCCAGGACTGAAACCCTGAACCCGAAATCCTGGACCTGAACTCTAAACCCTGAACCCTACACCCTAAACCCTGAACCCTACAACTAAACCCTGAACCCTAAACCCTGAACCCCAAACCCTATTCCCTAAACCCTAAACCCTGAACCCTAAACACTGAGCCCTGAACCCCAGACCCCAAACCCTAAACGCCGAAAACGCTGACGACCCTGCGCTCGACAAGCTCATGACCCAAGCTGCCGAAGGCCAGTACTCCGATTTCGGACCACCTCCACGAGGAAAGAATCGAGGGTCTGGGGTTTAGGGCTTTAGGGTTATAAGGGTTTAGGGTCTTAGGGTTCTGAGGGATTAGGGTTGAAGGGTGAAGGGCTTAGGAGTTTAAGGGTTTAGGGCTATGGCGGAGTCGGGCTTTGAATAATACCAGGGCTTCAGGGTAACCCCATGCCTTCCCACCCCCTCCCCCCACCTCGCGCTCCCAGGTACCAACCCATAAGACCCTCAACCACACGGTGGCCGGATGGCATGTTCGTATACGTGTAGGTTTAGGGTTTAGGGTTTAGGGTTTAGGGTTTAGGGTTTAGGGTGCCAAACTTGTTCATAAGAGAAAGAAGAACATGATTGGAGGAAGCCGACAAAGACCACCGCAGGCTTTTGACACCAAAGGCGAAACCGCGGTCTGCTTCGTGTATTTTATACAAAAGCATTCATCAGAAAGTTGAACCACCCGGAATCTCAAAAAGAAAACAGCCTGACTGACTCCCTCCTTCCTGAGGGTTTGGCCCTTTTATACATGTCTTGTACATATATATATATATACACACACACCCTAAACCCTAGCCACGATGTGTGTGTGTGCAAATATCTACATCTATACATTTACATACATATATATATATATATACCCTAAACCCTAAACCCTACACCCTAAACCCTGAACCCTAAACCCTAAACCCCCGGGCGCCTGCTCTTTGACGTTGCCGCTCCGGCGCCGGCGAGCCTCAGTCGTCTGCGCCCGTTGAAGCGTGGGCCGGGCCTCTCGAGTGGAGGTTAGGGTTTAGGCTTTAGGGTTTAGGCTTTAGGGTTTAGGGTTTAGGGTTTAAGGTTTAGGGTTTAGGGTTTAGGGTTTAGGGTTCAGGGTTTAGAGTTTAGAGTTTAGGGTTTAGGGAGGATTTAGGGTTTAGGGCTTAGGGTTTCGGGTAGAGCTCTTTCTATTCGAAGTTCTCAACCCTGCCGCGCATCGACACTGCAAAACGTGCACAAAACATGCGAATGCCAACAGAAGCATCAATCACTTTTAGGGTTTAGGGTTTAGGGTTTAGGGTTTAGGGTTTGGGGTTTGGCGCTGCTTCAGGGGTGTAGGGAGGGTTTGAGGACTGTGCTAGGGCTTCGGGCACAAGTGCAAGTACTATCTTCTTCTATGCCCTGACAAAGCACCCTCCCAATGCCCAATACAACTAGAAAACAAGCAGAAATACGAATACAAATAGACAAGCAAACTGCAGACACGCAGGCACACAGAGTGAGATGTCACACTGCCACACTTAGACAGGTGCCTATGAGATGCTCTGACAAGATCCCCCTCCCCCCCCCCCAACCTCCCTCTCCTCCCGAAACCCTAAACCCTAAACCCTGAACCCTAAACTCTAAACCCCTAAACCCCTAAACCCCTAAACCCTAAACCCTAAACCCTAAACCCTAAACCCTAAACCCTAAACCCTAAATCTCGAAGGCGCGGCCTGCGTCGGCGCGGCCTCGGGCTCCTCAGGCATGGGTTCTGTGCGCACCTGTGCCACCAGCTTCTCCTGGGAGGGGTGGGGTTTAGGGTTTAGGGTTTAGGGTTTAGGGTTTAGGGTTTAGGGTTTAGGGTTTAGGGTTTAGGGTTTAGATGGCTTAGGGTTTAGATGGTGTAATTAAGGTTTATAAAGGGTTTAGGGTTTGGGGCTTAGGGCTTTGGGAGTTGGCACCTGGATTTTGCGGGTGCTTTTTGCACAAGGTACGCGTGGCAGCTCGACCTATCTCTAAGTTGATGTTGATGTATAATAGATACTTGGGCCTTGAAGGGGTTCCTATGGAGCAGCTTCAGGGCCCAAGTATATTCTAGAACGGTACAAGGGCCGTTAGGGAAAGCGGTTGGGGCTTATTCTGTCGCTATTCGTTTTACCTATCTTCGAGCCACAACATGGCAAGCAAAACATGGAAAAATGAAATACAACAATAGACTTTCCCCGAAGCTTTTGTGGCGGGACTCGGGCAGGATGGCGATGGCGGGCAGGTCGTCGTCGTCTGCCCACCGCTTGGGATATTGGGCATCCTAGGCGGCTGAGCGAACATGCGAGGGCTTCCTACCTAAACCCTAAACCCGTTTTAACCCCATAAACCCTAAAAACCCTACCCCCTTTAAACCCTGTAAACCCTGATAAACCCTAATCCCCCCAATAAACCCTAACAACCCTATAAACCCTATAAACCCCATAAACCCTATAAACCCTATAAACCCTAAACCCTGAATCCTATATGCAGAGGAAACCAAACTCCAAGTCCGGGAGGCCACCAGGGCCGCTACCGTGGCGGAGCGTTCCCTCATGGCCGTGGCCGTGGCAGCAAAGGCCTTGCTGGCAATGCTCACCTCAGTTGTCCAGTATCCTATAGAGGCTACTACAATTTATGGGGGGCTCTACGGGGCTTATGTAGGAAGCATTGTAGGGATTGTAGATGGATTATATCTTAATGCCACCAGAAAAGACGTTTAAACAGGCTACCTACTCTACCACACCCTAAACCCTAAACCCGAAACCCTTAACCCTAAACCCTAAACCCCCCCCCCCCCCCCACCAAGTCACCCCCACGGCGGCCAGCTGCTCGGCAGCGGCAGTGCGCTCCCTCGGTGGGCTCTCGCTCCGTGGCCGGGGCCGATGTAGCTCCTTAAGAAAAAAACCGAGTGTCACTCGGTTGTCTTTAGAAAACCAAACAAGGGTTTAGGGTTTAGGGTTTAGGATTTGGGCTTTTGGGGTTTGGGGTTTGGGGTTTGGGGGTCATATACCCTATGCTACTACAAGTCCTGTTATATAAGGCAGTATATGAGCCCTAAACCCATTTCCTACTAATTGCTAGCAACCCCAAACAACAAAGAATATTCTTCCTTATTAAGGGCAATAGAGGGATTATTATTTTTCATGCTTGTGGGTTCTTAAGCAAATAGTAGTCTGGGGGTTCACTTGCTCCCCAAGGCTCCGGGATCTCAATGATGCGAGGGATGGCACCCGTGCGGACCCAGGTCTGGGTGGCTGCCGTGTTGTTGGCCCCAACCTAGTTTAGGGTTTAGGGTTTAGGGTTTAGGGATAGTACCCTTAGAAATGTAAAATGGTACCCAACTGTGACTAAGCAACCTCCCGCGCCAGCTCGCGCGGGGCGCGCGCCAAGGGCCAGCGCTCCGAGCTGGGAAGCAGTGAGTCCGAGCCCTGCGAGACCTAGGCTCCCAGCGAGTCGCCTAACAATGCTTATTAGTTTAGGGTTTAGGGTTTGGGGTTTAGGGTTTAGGGTGTAGGGTTTGGTACATCTAGGTCAATTTAAAGCTATCAAGATTCTAGGTACTTATCGAACTCAAGTTTAAGATTATAGGTACTTACCGAACTCAAGTTTGAGTGCAGTACTTAAAAGGCCCCGCTTAAATTAAAAAAAACAAAACAAACTTAACAAACACAACAAAACAAAGAGAAGCAAAACAACAAAAAAAAACACCACGAAAGGTCCCAGCGACCGGCACTGGTGCCTCGAAGCCCCGCTCGCCCGCGAGGTCCTCCGCCTGCTCCGTCATCTCGCGGAAGAAGTCGGCGCAGGTCAGCTTGCAAGGCCCATCCTTCTTCTTTATCATTATTAGTATTATTATTGTTAATTTTTACTTCTTTTTTTTTGGGGGGGGGGGGGGGGGGTTAAGGGTTGTGGGGGGGTGTAGGGGGTTTAGGGGGTTCAGGGTGTTTAGGTGGTTTAGGCTTTAGGGTTTAGGGGTACTTATACAACAGGGACTTTCGGGATGCCGTGACCCATGCTTCTAGGAAAAACCTATAAACCCGTCCAATACCTCTAGGCCGTTGGGCTAGTGCAATAGCTGTAGGCCGTTGGGCTAGGTAGGGTGCCTGTGTTGGGACTACATAATCAAGTGGTGAAGGCTCGTACCCCCAAGGATGTACCCCAAAAAGGTTCCCTTAATATTCTCCTAATATGGCCCGTATGTTCCCTTAAAACAACGATCCCGAAACTCAAGTATGGTCCGAGGTAGAGTCCTTTGACAACCCTAAACCCTAAACCCTAAACCCTAAACCCTAAACCCCTTCACCAGGCAAGCATCGGCCAAGCTAAGTGCATCGGCCGCTTGGAGCATCGCTGCGCTGCAGAGGGAGGCCCAGGCTGCGCTGGGTTCGTGGTCGGGGGCCAGCAGCGAGAACCTGGGATGTGGGGTTTAGGGTTTAGGGTTTGGGGTTTGGGGTTTGGGGTTTGGGGTTTGGGGTTTAGGGTTTAGGATTTAGGGTTTAGGGTTTGGGGTTTAGGGACTTCAGGCTTTTGAGCGCTTTAGGGCTTCTAGGGTTCAGGGGATGCGCGTCCAAGCCACAAACCAATGGCTTTAAACCCCTCTAATCCCCTGAACGCCCCTACACACAAAAGCCACACAGAAAGGTGCTCTGAGGACAAGCCGAAGAAACGACACCAGCCGCATCTCCAACTCCTTCGAGGCCCGAGCCAGCCGCACGTCCTCCAACAGGTCCCTGAAGCCTAAGCCCCACAAGGTAGGGCTTAGGGTTTTGGGCTGAACCCTAAACCCTAAACCCCTGAACCCCTAAGCCCTAAACCCCAAACCCCAAACCCTAAACCCTTGGAGGCGCCTACTACCCGAGCCCTCTAAAGAGCCCGCGCCGTCCTCCAGGAGGTCCACATGGTCGCCTGGGTACCCGCGGTACACATACTATGAAAAGGGTACCCAATGTTTTGTGGGTTGGTTACTTTATAGGGGAACCTTAAGAACAAACAGGGTAAAGGGGCACCACTGGGCTACCAACCCTAAACCCTAAACCCTAAACCCACACTGGGCTACACCAAGTTGCAGTCCGACATCAGCACCACGGAGATGCCACTCGGCAGGGCAAGCCAAAAGTCTCGCAGCCTCGGGAGTATGGGAACTCCCAACCCTAAAGCCCTGAACCTTCAACCCTAGAGCCCTAAACCCTAAATCCTAAACCCGAATCCCTAAACCCTAAACCCTAAACCCTAAACCCAAAACCCTAAACCCCAAACCCTAAACCCTAAACCCTAAAGCCTAAACCCTAAACCCTAAACCCTAAACCCTAAACCCTAAACCCTAAACCCTAAACCCTAAACCCTAAGCCAAGCAGCCAGCCGGTCCCGGGGCTTTCCTCACCGCCGGCCTCCTCGGGCTCCGGCTGCTGCAGTGCGTGAAGGCCAGTGAGGATCACCACGCAGGTGTCCACGGGCTGGCAGCCCTCTGTCACCTTGGTGAGAGGGGTTCAGGGTTTAGGGTTAGGGTTTAGGGTTTAGGGTTTAGGGCTTAGGGCTTAGGGTTTAGGGTTTAGGGTTTAGGGTTTAGGGTGTAGGGTTTAGGGTTGGCTTCGAAGGAGCACCCGATTCCTTGAACTACCTCCTCGGTTTGAGGAATTCAGGAATTAGGGCTGGAGGGTTTAAACCCATGAACTTCTCAAACCTAGACCACTATAAATCCCTAGCCTAAACCCCCCAACGCCCTAACTCCCAAAACTGCCATAAATTTTCAGATACAGCCCTGAACCCTGTAAAGCCCTGGGCCCTGCCCTAAACGCTAAACCTAAACCCTAAACCCTATAAAGCCCCATGCCCGAGCGGCTGTGCGCGCGAGCGCGTGGAAGTCCGCAGCGTCTCGGGCGACCAGTGCGGGAAGAAGGCCGCAGCTTCCAAACCAGGATTGGAAGCGCCTCAGGGGTTTAGGGTTTAGGGTTATGACAAGGGCTTACAACTTTACAGGGTCCAAGGCTTACGGGAACCGGGCTTGGGGCTTGCCAGCAACCTCGTAGGTTCACTTAAGCCCAAAGAAAGGGGATAGGGGTATTATTGGGTGTCCTAGGAGCTTTGAAGCTTTGACTGATGTGGGCCCCCTGATGCTTAAAACCCTGCTGGGTGTCTCGGGCTGAAAGTTGGGAGTTTGGGGTTTGGGGTCTGGGGTCTGGGGTTTAGGGTTTAGGGTTTAGGGTGACGCCAGCTGAGTTTTCCGGATGCCGCTGAGTTGGATGTCTTTCTCTTGCGAGAGAGGGGAAGGGCGGTATAGGCACTCAAACCCGAGACACTCGTACTCATAATACTAGATTTGGAAGAAATATAACGACAGATCATAACAACAATCTTCGTTAGCAATCTTAACACCCATAATATTCATAACATTCATGAGATTCGAAATATAGACCATCCTAATAGCAAAAAACAACGACGTCCAAGCTCAGGATGCCTTCAACCCTACTTTGGAGTAGACCCTGGAAAGAAGGATATACTTTCTAGGGAGAAATAGCTATAATAGGAACCCAGAACCCTAAACCCTAAACCCTAAACCCTAAACCCCAAACCCTAAACCCTAAACGCAGTCAAGGTGCTGGCAGGCCTGCTGCGCGCGAGCGCGTTCCTTGGCCGTCTCGGCCCAGGCTGACGGGTCAGCCATGAGGACCCACCTTTCGGCTTAAGGTTCTAGGGTTTTAGGGTTTAGGGTTTAAGGTTTAGGGTTTTAGGGTTTAGGGTATAGGGTTTGGGGTTTAGGGTTTCGGGTTTTCGGGTTTTAGGGTTTTAGGGTTTAGGGCTTAGGGGTCCCTAAACCTGAAATATTTCAATCATATGAGGAGGGGCCCCTACAAGGGAACCTTAATCTGTTTCCCCTATAAAACCAAAATACATATATAGAGCCTGAGACCTTTCGGGTTCTTTTGGAAAGCAACTGAAGAAAATAAGTATAAATCTGGTTCAAAATATTCATATCCATTATATATAAAAGCATCCGCCGGGCTCATAAGAGCATGCATGCTTTCAGAAAAAAAACTAGAAATCTTTTATACTAAACCCTACACTCCACCACCAGAAACTCATTTGTTGCCGACTCTCTGCGAGCTGGTTGCAGTCATGCCTAAGCTCTGCCCTGCACACGTCATAGCATGAATGTTTAAGAAAGACTAAGGGTTTAGGGTTTAGGGTTTAGGGTTTAGGGTTTAGGGTTTAGGGTTTAGGGTTTAGGGTTTAGGGTTTAGGGTTGGCTTCTAAGTAAGTCTACCGCTAACCCTACGCCCTAAACCCTCAGAGTAGTGTACTGCTTAAGTCTAAAATTATTCCAAAAAGTAGTGCGGCAGGTCAGAGATCAGCAAGCACATTAAAAAAAAAAAAACGCGCCGGCCTTGCGATGTCTAGCCTCTACTTTCAAATGGCTTAGCGTTTAGGGTTTAGGGTTCAAAGATTAGGGGTAAGGGGCAAAGGTTTAGGGCCCAAGGCGAAGCCTAAACCCTAAACTCTCTAAACTCTAAACGCGAATCTGCCCCAATAAGAGTAAAGGGAAGAACTACGGCTGTGAAAGGGAAGAACTACGGCTGTGCGACACGAGTAGGCGACTCGAGGCATGAGTACGCTTGACATGAAAAGTGTGCAAATAAATAAACAAGAAAACATCATGACTCATTACCAGACAATGCTCGAAGCAGATGTTAGCAATACTATTGCTTGAGGTCTTGATCGAAGTCCTTTGCAGCTAAAACATCTGCATGCCTGCAACAATAAAATAAAATGAAGTTCACTTGGCTTACGTTAGAAGTGTGCTTTTTTAGAGACATGTCCGGCCTGGTCGTCGAGCCAGTATTCAAGAACCTAACTGCAAAAAAACAAAAGCAGCAGACATGCTTTCCTCAAACGCACAAGACAAACTAATCTGCCTCGGCTTGCATGAATCCGTAAAGATCATCAGCATTCATAGGAGCACCTGGGCTGAAAATACTCCATCTTCAGCGGAAACTACAAAAGTAATCAACCCTGAGGTCCTCGCCGGTGTCGATCCAGACCTGCTGCAAGCTTAACATCATGATATGTAAAAAAAATGCATGTGTCGCAATTGGTAGCACGACCTGGTCCTCCATCAGCAGGTCGTTGACCTAAACAAGATAAACGACAATGCTGCACGACAGAATGCAAAAAAGCTGTAGAAGAAAAATCTGCTAGCATGCATCTGCATTACTATAGGCTGTCCGGCATCCGGCAAGTCTTCGAGGTCGGCTGGAGGACCTTGTGCTACAGACTGTCATGCTGAGATCCAATTCAACCGATGAAAAGCTCAGGTCGTAGCCGCTTGCGTCTTGGCCTCCTTGGCCCTGCTGCAGTTTGTATTTGGAAAAACTCATTGTTTTCTTTACTAAGATACAGCGCCAATTACCTATACGATGCCAGGTGTAGTTATTAAAATATAGCGATGCAGTTTTCGGAAAATAACATATATAAATTCAAGAACTAGTAAAATCGCAGAAGCTATAAATCAACATGATGTTCAGAAGCAGCCTGGAGCTGGGCAACGCAACGCCCACAGTACGAGTGTCCACAAGGGACGAGGGCGGTCAGCTCCTCCTTCACCTTTCGCAAATTCACACTCATCAGTAGCTGCGAGCCCGAAAACACGGACCTGAAGTATTGAAATGATGCAAAATTGATGAGAAACGTAAAATCTCATGAAAAATCATATTTTGTTATAAAACGACGGAAAGTCATAACTATAGGCATTGTCCAAGAATTTGTCAAGCCAGGTCATGGACAAGACAGACACATCGCAATACTTCGGGAAGCGCAGTGTTCGGGTTCGGGACATGCTCCTGAGGCGCCGGCAGGATGAGGGCATCTTTAGCAGCAGCAAGTTCAACTCTGACCCGATAGAGTGGATCGCGTCTGTACATGCTGCCAACGAAGACGGGCAAAATTACAAAATGCCCTGAGCCGCGGGTTCTTCTGCTTCGGACTCCTGGGGGCATGCTGCCGAACCGCAAATCTTCCACATGAGACTTTTCGACTGGCAACGACTGCTTCGGGCGGTCGCCTTGAATCCTGTGCAGCTTCTGTGTGATTTTCGTGCTTGTAAGTGCGATACAGTTAGTATCTTACTATGGGCTTGATACTGAAAAATCAATGTCTGCGCCGGCTACAAGTAAGAAACCGTTGCAATAATATGACAAAAACTCAGTTGTATACGAAAGTCCAGGCATCGTCGCGGCAGACGGGACAACGCATAGCTAAACAAACTACGCGGGACAATCCTATTGTAACACTATTTCAGTTTGACATTTTACATTTTAACGTTTTTTGTGTTTCTTTGTTTTCACGCAGGATTTT